TTTTCCTTTTCCTTCCTTCCCACAACAATTAATGTGCCTATTTTGTTTAGCATAAAGTATTGTTCTTAATTCTTTATTATTTGTCAAAATTAACTTCCACTAATGAATCTGAAAATTAAACATTGGGGGATATTCATATGGAGATACATAGATGCATTTTGTGACGACTAGTGAACGTTGTATAAGTCCTTGTATCTTATTTGTGCAATTTCTGTGTAGTTGGTGTGCAGAAAGCAAGAAAAGTTGCTGGTTCTCATAATTTACCTCTTGTCGGTGTCCATCACATGGAAGCTCATACTCTGGTTGCCAGGTAGCACTATGGAATAAGGTTAAATTATTCATGCTAGTAGCAAGCAGTAGAGTAGGACCAGTGCATACAGCTAAAATTTGTTGGGAATTTGTCCAGTTCAAGGGTTAGTTACTGGACTATGAATTTCCTAGCTTACGATTACTTTGTCCGCCTTACTGCTAAGAAATAATAACAATAAAATAAAGAGAAAAAAAAACTTTGGCTGGAATACTCTTGTAAGATGAATTTTCTCCTTTGTGTTAATGCTTTTCCTTCGTACTTGTGCTCGATTGTCTTGCAAGGCTGCCTGTCTTATGCTTCAAGACATTTGCAAATACAATGTACTGTAATCCACCCGGAAATAATGTTCTCTCTTTTTTAGGTTAGTGGAAAGAGAGTTGCAGTTTCCTTTCATGGCCCTACTTGTCTCAGGTTAGATAACCTTTTACAATTTTATAGGTCTGTTTTATTTACTCTTACTGAAAATATACTGTGGGATTAGGTCTGCGTACACACTACCCTGCCCAGACCCCATTTGTGGGATTCCACTGGGTTTGGTGTTGTTGTTGTTGTTGTTGTTACTGAAAATATACTGGTTATCTTTTCTTGTGTTTAGAGATGTATGGCCAAGTTATACAATATTACCCTAGTTCTAGTTGTACGGCCATCGTATGGTTCTATCTATGTCAGTGAACATCACTTGAATATAAAAGATCTAGGATGTTTTGCAGTTTAACTTGTGCCTACAGGTTTTTCATATGCTTGTCCTGATGCTCATGATATTTAGTGTTATGTTTATGAGCCCTTCGATTGTATCCTGTAAGACGAAAATCTCTCATATAAATGTCTTCTCAATGGTTCAGTTCTAACATATTATGTATAATCTCCGTGTGTGCTTTTTGTTTCATGTCTTTTCCTAGGGAACCCAACTTATCTTAAGTTAAGAAAATTGAATTTAACCTTTAAGCCAATTATGCTAAATATTGGATACATGTCTCGATCAACAGCATAAAAATGTTGTTTTCCTAGTGTAAAAGCAATTTGACCAGTTGTATTTTTCTGTGAATTAGATATCAATAACTAATGGATTTTCTTGTCATATGCTCTTTAGGAGGGCATAACCTTCTAATCCTTGCACGTGATCTTGGCCATTATATACAACTTGGGACAACAGTTGATGATGCAATTGGCGAGGCATATGACAAAACAGCAAAATGGCTTGGTCTTGATTTGAGGAGGAGTGGGGGCCCCGCTGTGGAGGAGCTAGCTCGAGAAGGAAATGCCAAATCTGTCAAATTTAAAGTAAGTTACTTTAGGGAGATTTGCACTTATGCAATATGTCTCCACAATTTTCTTTATAAAAGATTTTTAGTTGTGATATTGTTTGCTCAACTAACTAAAAGTTTGAATAAATGTTAGGTCCCTATGAAACAACACAAGGATTGCAACTTCTCATATGCTGGTCTGAAGACGCAAGTGAGGTTGGCAATTGAAGCAAAAAGAATGTATGTGATTCATTAAGAAACAAAAAGTTATTGATCAGCTTTTCGAAGTATTTTCCATTTCATTTCATCTTAAAACTTTACCACCCTTGTCACTGAGTTGTTTTTGTTCTTTTCCTATTATAGAATTTGATTTTTTCATTTTCAATGAGGTAAACAATGAATTATCCAATATATGGACAACTGTCTGCCTCAAAGCAGAAAATGGTTTTGATAACCGAGAAATCCCCGAGGGCCAGTGGCACACCGTTTGAAACTCCGTGAATAATGAGCCCTCTCCTCTACCCTTCTCCACTTAAATACCAAGCTTTTGTATGGGACATGGTTCAAACCCGTGACGTATGCCTAACCCACACTTGCTGCGCTCTTACCACTAGACCAAACCCCCGGGTCCCATCAAAGCATAAATTCTTGAAAAGATTAAAGAATCTTCTCTTGTTTCTTCCTCTTTCTACAATGTCACCTTAGTTTAGTCTTCATATAAATCATGGTCCAGAAAGTACAGTAGGTTATAGCTTTGTCTTATCACTTATGATTGTAAGGTGTAATGAGTCACTCAGAAAACAATGTACATCAGTTGCTTGTCATTGTCCTCGACTTCCTAGCTATTCACATTTTGTAGCTTGTATGCAGCAATGCTGAAATCTCTCTTGCTTCAGCTTCCGATGAAGAAAGGCAGGCTCGGGCAGATATTGCTGCCTCCTTCCAGGTATATACCTTTTATATCTGTCGTGATTGCTTTCTAATTAAGAATTGTTGGCTACCAAATCAATCAGTCTCCTATACCTCCTTTAAATTCTTAATCTCGTTGCATTTGCAATGAACGTTTCACGCAGCGAGTTGCAGTATTACATTTGGAGGAAAAGTGTGAACGGGCAATTGAGTGGGCTTTGAACATTGAGCCTTCAATAAATCATTTGGTCAGTGTTCTCTGTTTACTGCAATTTCATATGACTAATTTCTTTTCTCGTTACTCTAATGTATTAATTGCATGCACCTATAAAATTAATGTCAACTATGCTAATCGTTCAGTTTACCTTTCACAGGTAGTGTCTGGAGGTGTTGCTTCTAATAAGTATGTCAGATCTCGGCTTGATGAGGTTGTGAAGAGGAAAGGCCTGAAACTTGTATGCCCCCCTCCAAGCCTTTGTACTGATAATGGTTAGACAATTCTCTTTTCTTAGATTTGCCTCATTTTCATCGAGAGACTTCGGTTCCTTTTTTTGTATAAGTTTAATTGCTTTAGAGGAAAGGTCTTGTCTCTCGTTGAGTCAAGTAAATTGATATGTGGAGCCTCTAGGTTAGTTGGTTTTTCTTGAACTATTTTAGCTCAAAAATGCACATGGCTTGGTATTGCACTCTAATTCATTGGCCTGTTCTAATAGGTGTAATGATTGCTTGGACTGGCATTGAACATTTCCGTCTTGGCAGATTTGATCCTCCACCTCCTGCAAACGAACCAGAAGATGTCGTGGTTTGTCTTATTCTTGCCTTGTCTTTTTCCCTTACCTCCGCTCAAACTGGCCATGTTGTCCTATAGTTTAAGTTGATCTGCGTATTCAGCCAATAAATTTGCATCTTGGAAGTTACGCTTGTCAAATATCATCCAGAGTATTCAGTCAAAATTTGAAATAAAACACCAAATTTGGAACTCCTTAGATCTGCTTTATGGAGTTTCTATTGTTCTAATTCCTGTTCCCCTCCCCCCTACACCCTCCCCACTCCGTTCTCCTTACAATGTTTAATTTTGACCAACGGTTCCTTTGATCAGCTTGATTTGCGCCCAAGGTGGCCGCTTGGCGAGGAGTATGCTGAAGGAAAAAGTGAAGCTCGCTCAATGAGAACAGCACGGATTCATCCATCACTTACCTCTCTCATTAAGGCATCATCTGTTAAGCAAGAGTCACAATCTGCAATTTAAAATTACTCGAGACTAATCTGCAACGAGTATCCACAATCATGGACATATTCTTTTTGAAGACACTGAGACCACAATTAAGGTGGTTTGCGTTGAATCAAGATTTGAATGTGTAATCATTCTTGAAAGTTGGTGAGCGAAAATACTTGAAGAACCATAATTCAAGAGCAATGATCCTCTGAGGAAAAACTCTGTATTATGAGAGATTAAAATGTCTCCCCTCGGTATCTCTTGGTGGTAGATGTGGTTGTTAGCATTTTGCAACTGTGTTAGAAGTCATCATGGCATGAAATTTACTGATTTAATGTATAAACTTTTGCCATATTGTATAGTTATGTTTAATGCACGACGATGCTGTGAGTTATTTGTAATGAGATAACATTAGTTTCTTCCGATTAATAGTGAATATGTTTCTTTTGGTTAAATTTAAAGAAGCTGTATTATGTTTCATTGCACCTGCATTTTCCCACAATATTCCAACTTGTACTTTAGGGATCAAAGTTTAGAAATTCTAATACTGAGAAGTAGGGGTGTGCATTCGATTTATCGATTCGATTTTGACCCTTATCGATAATTACTTATCGATTATCAATTTGTACATATGCTTATCGTTATCGTTTCAATAAGGTTTCGATTTTTTCGATTTCGATTTCGATAATAAATAATCGATTTGATTTATCGATAAACTGATTCGAATGCACACCCCTACTGAGAAGTATAGATGAGATAGTTTATCTCTTGGTTCTGTTTACTTTCTTATCTTGGTCAACAAGAAATAAAAAGGAGCAACATTGGTAAATCACACATAAGTATACGTTTATACTACTCCTTTGGGTTATCTCTAAGTGCTTAAAATGATTATATGAATAAGTAGTTACGTATTGGTAGAGGTGCTGAATTTGATAATATACCTTTCACACGCTCACATGGCACATACTTGATAGAAAAGTGTTTATGTTAAAATAACTTAAGTACCATTAAAGTTTTAAAAAAATATACATAAAGTTTATTTTTATATGGAGAAAAGCGAATAATAAAAATTGTATTGACAGAAGTTAGAATTTTTGTTTTTGCGACAAATACTTTGTAAACTATAAAAGTGTAGACCTTGGTCAGACTAAATGTACTTATAAATTTTTGGCTTATAAACATCTTATTGCATAACAACAACTTTAGCAATAAAAAATAAAAATAACATAGAACAATTAAGCCAACAAAAAAAAGAAAAAAATTGTGGTGAAATGAGGATACTCAATTCATTTATTAGAAAAAAGAAAAAAAATCATTTAGAAGAACAGTACAGGATATATAAATACCAAATTGGTACTAACTTTGAGCGCGAAAACCCTCAAATGGAAGTGTCAAGTCTTCCGATATCGGCATCGCTGAGAGCAAAGCTGATCTCCGCCGGCTACTCTTCTCTTTCTTCGCTCCTTTCCGCCTCCTGCTCCGACCTTGCTCGCGGTATCTTTTATTTATGCAAATTAATTGAAAAGCTAAATCCTTTACGTGTTTAGTTTGTCATTTCTTGAGTTCTAAATGTTTCAGTGAATTAGTTATTAGCAATCAGTTAAAGGCGCGTTTAATTGAATTTTTTTTAAAATAGGAATTCTTTTTTCCAAGTTGAATTAAATTATATTTAATTGCCGGTTTCAAGGCGCCGAATTCTGATTTTGAGCTCAAAGTTGTATGATGGTTGAATGACATACAGGAGAAATATTTTGTTGGGAATATGCAACTCTATTTCAGTGGGAGAGGTTAACTCAGATTGAACTTTGTGGGTTGGAGTTTAGGAATTTTACTATAGCGCATTTGATTTACTGGTTTAGAAATCTATTATCTGTACTAAATATTATTTGTGCTTATTTAGTTAAACTTTTAACACATATACAGGGTTTGAATCAAAGTTGTTGGGGTTCAGGTGAAGGCAGGAAATTTTGAGCACCTTTTGCCGGTGGGTTATGCAAGGGTGTTCAAAGTTTATTTTCTTATCAATAACAAGTACAATATTTACCCTATACACAATATAATTTTTCGGCCGAAGGGTGTTCAGTTGACCACCCTTAACCACACATAGCTTCGCCCCTGGTTCAGATGAACCCATAACATTAACACTACATATGCCCCTGGGTTAACTGAAAGATAGACGTAAGGGAAACCAATATTTTGAGGATTCGGAATCTGCGGAAAAAGAATAAGCTTGGTGCTACAAATAAAATGCTTAATTTCGTGTGGCTTCTCATTATGTCTCAGTTCTAGTTTATGATCAAGTTTGATGAGTTATAACAGTTTTAAGTTTTATTTAACAAGTGACACTAATGTTATTCCTACATAATGTTCTTTTGCCTATGCAAACATTTCATATCTTTATAACTTTTTCTGTTATAGATCTAAAGATTTCAGAAAATGAGGCGATTGGAATTTTGAGAGTTGCATCACAAAGGAAGGGATCTGAAAGATCTAATGGAACTAGCTCCATTGTTAATGGTATATTGTTAACACTATTCTATGAAAACTTGATCGGTTGTCTGTCAGCAGTCATGTAGATTATATTTTGAATATTTTTTACAAAGATTATGGAGTCATTATTTCAAGTGATTAAGTTTGGTTTAGTGAGATAGTCTTTTATTATTGACTTGTTGACAGTAGCATGTGTTTCATTGTTCTGCTTCGATTATTTTGCAAAGAGGAAGGAATTTATGTATGGATTCTTTTTATTAGGAGCGCAAACTGCCTGGGATATGCTAAACGAGGAGGAATCACTTGGACGTATCACAACATCTTGTTCCGAGTTGGATGACATTTTGGGTGGGGGAATAAGTTGCAAAGAGGTTACTGAAATTGGTTAGTGTTTTAACATTTAGATATGTTTGCATATTACCAATAATATCATACAGGCATCCACTCTTGCTTATTGGCGTTTCTAAAACAATGTGTTAGCAGTTATCATCAACTTTAAGATAAATTATCTTCTGATTGTTGCAGGTGGGGTGCCAGGAATTGGTAAAACACAACTTGGGTAATCGTTGTCACGTGTACTTCCTGCGTATTAGAAATAACTTCTTGTTTCTATTGGTTAAGAGACTTCAAAATGCAGGATACAACTTGCAGTAAACGTTCAAATTCCCATGGATTATGGTGGTCTTCAAGGCAAGGCAATATATATAGGTACGTGCTAACAGAGTTGTTTATTGTCCGCGTATTATAGCTATTCTCTTTCTATATTCAGCCAAGTACCTGGCTGTATATGCAATTTTTCAGATACGGAAGGCAGCTTCATGGTGGAGCGCGCTTTACAAATTGCTGAAGCTTGTCTGGAAGACATGCAAGAATATCATGGTTTTTTAAAGAAGGATTTACAAGCTTGTCAACTTAACAGGAAGCCAGAGGATTTCCTTGAAAACATATTCTATTTTCGCGTTTGTAGTTACACAGAGCAAATTGCTGTTGTAAATTACTTGGATAAGTTCATCTCAGAGCATAAAGATGTATGTAGAGAAATTCTTTCTTTTTTAATATCCTTCCTCACAACTAAAACATATAATTTCTGAAACTTTGTTTTTATTAGGTTAAGGTTGTTATTATTGATAGCATTACATTCCATTTCCGTCAAGATTTTGATGACATGGCCCTTAGAACCCGACTACTTGGTGGAATGGCCTTAAAGTTGATGAAGCTTGCGAAGAAATATACTTTGGCAGTAAGGATAACTTCCTTTCCAAGTGATTATCTTTTGGTACATAATCAGTTAGTTTTATTTGCCATTGTATCATGTCATTAACATCAATTTCTTTATGTAGGTTGTCCTCTTGAATCAAGTAACCACCAAGTATATCGAAGGGTCATATCAGTTAACTCTTGCATTAGGTAAATACCAAGCTTTGGTAAGATATAACTGGTATCAAACATGCCGCCTCCTGCTAATTTTCACCCCCACCCCACCACATTCCCAGAGAAAAAATGTTCTCTTTTTCAAAAGTTCGGAAAACAAAGATGGTGAACTTATTTTATCGATCATTGTCCGTTATTGCTTCTTAATATGTTTTGCCAAACAGGAGATAGCTGGTCACATGCTTGCACTAACCGGGTGATTTTATACTGGAACGGTAATGAAAGGTATGCATACATTGACAAGTCGCCTTCTATTCGATCAGCATCTGCTCAATATTCCGTGACAGGCAGAGGGATTCGGAGCTCTGTTTCAAACTGTAAACGAGTCAAGATGATGTAAGTTTTCAGTTAATATTTGAAAGAGAAATGATTGAACTCTTATTTTTCTTCCACTTGGATGAGAAAGTGAGCTTCTTGTAAATTCTATGCCTAAGCCGTGAATCTATACAAATTCTCCTTAAACATTTGAGCATATGTAGCTTCGACTGGATATGGAACTTATACACCCTAAAGTAGGTTAAAGATTTCCTTTGGTTTCCTTCTAATAACAGACTTTCATTTTTATCCCTTTACCATAACTGCAAAATAATCAACTTTTAACACTTGCTTTATATGCATTTAAGATGGTGAAACAGTCATCAAATTTTAGAGATACTATAGGATAAGGAGAGCCTTGGAATAACGGTAGTTGTTTCCGTGTGACCTATAGGTCACGGGTTCGAATCATGGAAGCGGACACTAATGCATGCATTAAGCTAGACTGTCTATATCACACCCCATGGGATGCAGCCTTTCCTCGGACTCGCATGAACGTGTGAGAAGCATTGTGCACCGAGCTACCATTTTCTTTTAGGATTGTTTATAAGTTCATCATTTTAATTGTGAGAAACTCTCATAGAGAAGGTAATCAAGTTGCTGATGGACATGCTAAAACGATAGTAATCAACTTAAAAGGCATGATTTACCTTCTTTTGTGTAGGATGTTTTGTACAGAATTCGCTTTAGAACATTTGTCACTAAAGAAAACAAAGAAATTAATTTTCTTTTTCAATTTCACCCTTACTACTCCAAGTAAATGCCCCCCACTAATATTACCATAATTAAAGTGAAAACCAAATGTGGCACATGGAACAAACAAAAAAGTGGTGATAATAACTAAGCGCAGAGCAATAATAAGTGGGATTAACATGACCATAATACACCAATTTCAACTTTTAATTGCAAAATGGTCGTTTCACCTTGTAATTACCGCCTCCTAAAATGGACCATCCTCTCTATTACGTCAATGACGACACCTTCAAAGCTCCAACAACTATTTTTTTCTTTCATTCTGTGTTTGATATTTGCTTTAAATTCAACTAATTTAAATTCGTATTGCGTAAGACTTATTAAAGCGGATATATGTTTTTACCAAATTATTTTCATTTCAAAACTTAAACCGAGACTTTGGATTAAGTGGAAGAATCATATTCATTCCACCACAACTTTCGGTGATAACAACTTACTCTTATTCCTTCTCTTTTTACTAAACTTTAGAAAGAAAAAATAATGTAAACTTTTTAAGCGTTTAGCATAATTTTTAGAATTTTATGAACTAAAAGTACTTAAATGTAAAATATATGGATCCTTTAATAGATAGATAAGGTACTAAATCCTTTGTCTTTTTTCAATTTAAAGCAGGGTTCATTTTCTATCTAAACTAAAGTAGATAACTGTATAACAATGCACGGAATCTGTTTCTTAAGCCTGACGTAAAATTCCACATCAAAATCTAGCAGTTGTATTTTAAATTATTTATTGGTTTTTTGAAAGAAACGCTGTATGGTTAGGTGAGATGAATTTTTTGACCAAAAAGTACCTCAACCAACCAAACAAAAAAATAGTTTTTTTTTTTAATTTTTAATTTTTAATTTTTTTTATTTTGTTGAGGGGCATCGAAAAGATAACAACCTAATTTGGTTGTTGGTTCTTGAATTCAACCCCTTACCTAATATTTCTCCAAGTTCTGTATTTTGCATTTTTTTCCTTCTCTTTTTTGTTTCCACTTTGGCATTCATAATTAGATTCGTTCCTCAATTTTTCTTTGATAGAATATGCTATTCTATATAACCTTAATATGACAAGGAAAGTAAGAGGGGGAAAAATAGCTGCACAAAAATTCAAGGTAGATTTAGCTCGACATTGATTTAGAAATATCTGCTAAAACTCATCGTCCACAAATTTCATATATTAGACTAATTTAAAGATCAAAGAGAATAAAGAGTTGCCCCTTCCCCTTCATCAAACAATCACAAGCAAGTTGACCATACAAGTTAATTTATAGATCCAAAAGTACTTAAATGAGTCATTTTTATATTGTTATTAAAAATATTCTAAGTTTATATATTAATAAGTCACCATTTGGGTTTTGATTTAGTACAGCAACACATGATATGTGGATTAGACGTAAGTCACACTTTAAATATCATGCAAAAGGGTTAATATTCAAGTGAAAAATGATAGAAAAGCGGATCTATTATCCATCGAATTTTGAACCATAAGCCAGCTAGTTCCTTCTCATATACTTTATCCGTTCCAGTTTATGTGAATCTATTTTCTTTTTGGTCCGTTCTAAAAGAATGACCCTTTCTAAATTCGAAAACAATTTAGCTTAAACTTCCAAATCTATCCTTAATGAGAAGCTTTTATAACCAACAAATACTTTGGACACATTTTTGATTTGTTTAGAACCACAAATTCCAAAACTCTTTATTTTTCTTAAACTCCGTGTTCAATCAAACATGTTCGCATAAATTGCAACGGAAGGAGTATATATTTTGACAAAATTTATTTTATTCTATAATTTATAAGATAGCATTTTTAAATAAAAAAGTAGTAAATGGTGATATATGACACCTACCCACATATCTCTTAGAGCCACAAGGAGCCAATCCCTAAATAAATCCTCAAAAGTCATTTTAAGACCACTCTTTCCTCATTTTCTCCTCCCATATATCACCTCCTCTTCACTCTCTTTTCTCTTTGACACAAAACATCAAACACCTTACTGGTAAAGCCATGGCTTCTTCTTCTTCTCTCACTCTCTCTCAAGCTATCCTCTCTCGTTCAGTCCCTCGCCATGGCTCTGCCTCTTCTTCTCAACTTTCCCCTTCTTCTCTCACTTTTTCCGGTCTTAAATCTAACCCCAATATCACCACCTCCCGCCGCCGTACTCCTCCCTCCGCCGCCGCCGTACGGTCTGCGGCGATTCGTGCCTCGGCTGCAACTGAAACCATAGAGAAAACTGAGACTGCTCTTGTTGACAAATCTGTAAACACGATTAGATTCCTGGCTATTGATGCTGTCGAAAAGGCAAATTCGGGTCACCCCGGTTTGCCCATGGGTTGTGCTCCGATGGGTCATATATTGTACGATGAGGTTATGAGGTATAACCCGAAAAACCCGTATTGGTTTAATCGGGATCGGTTTGTTCTATCAGCTGGACATGGTTGTATGCTTCAGTATGCTTTGCTTCATCTAGCTGGCTATGATGCTGTCAAGGTAAAAAAAACTTACCCTTTTGTCTTTTAACTTTTTTTACTAATTGGTGCATGCATGAGTAGATTTATGTATTTTGTTTCTGTTATGTGGCGCTGTTTGACTGGTCATAAATATTGGGGGAACCACATATAGTGAAGGGAAAATTATATGGTGTATATAGGTTAAATATTACTTTTTATATGTATATATTAAATCTTGAGACATTTTTGGCTTCGCTACTGGCACGGAGTTTTAAAAAAAATTACAAGTTGTGGCATAAAATAAGTTTGTAGACATTTGTATGTCTATAAAGCATTTCATCAAGGGTAAAATTAGAAGTTTAAAGTTAAGATGTTTCTAAATATGAAATGTGACATTCTTTTTCCACAGAATGAAAGAGGGGGAAATGACTTGTGGACTTGTTGGTGAGCAAGTCATTTTTTCCATATCACTTGTTATAACCAACACTTACACATTGTTATCAGTTTTTAAAACTAAAAAAATTTCATCAAAGCGCCTCTAATTTGCTGATTTAGAAAAAAAAGTTTTGGAAAATATTTTTCATTCACCTACTTAATATAGGAAATAAGTGAGAAAACCACTTATTATCCAAGATCTTTCGTACTAAACATGTAAAGTTGTAAAGGGGAGCCTTGGCGCAACGGGTAAAGTTGTTGCCATGTGACCAAGAGGTTACGGGTTCGAGCCGTGGAAACAGCCTCTTGCAGAAATGTAGGGTAAGGCTGCATACAATAGACACTTGTGGTCCGGCCTTCCCCGGACCCCACGTATAGAGGGAGCTTAGTGCACTGGGCTGCCCTTTTTTTTTTCATACCAAACATACATAAACATGTATGTCAAGCCATTATGGTATAGACTTTCACGTGTTTGGTGTGGAGGGATGTGTTTTTATGAAAGAATATTTTTCTCGGGAATCATTTTCTTGATCGTGCTCCAGTGTTTGGTTTGTATATAAGTTGAAACTTTCAAAGTGTAGGATAAGATATTAGGAAAGTGTTTGACGAAATCTTGAGGATGCTGTTGATTGAAGTAAGTGATATGGAAGAGCAGTTGGTATGATTATCAAGGAAAATGTAATTTCCCACGTTTGGTGCAAAATATTTTCCTCGGAGAAACGTATTTAACAATTTTAGGTATCCAAACTCCGGAAAGTATTCTCCTCATGGAACTGTTTTCCAAGAAAAAATTTCCTCCACACCGAACAGTCAAAATTGAAACACGACTTTTTGGTACACTTTGCACAGTTACTGATGATTTTATCTTTCTTTTAGCTTAATGATCTTATGTTTCTTTTAAATGTGTTTTATGAGTGAGAATTTACTTACATTACATTTGGAAATTTTTTCACCACTATGCTTTTTTTACCTGTTTTGCTGATTATTTTTACTATTATATTTGACTAGGAAGAGGACTTGAAGAGCTTCCGTCAGTGGGGAAGCAAAACCCCTGGACACCCTGAAAACTTTGAGACACCTGGTGTTGAAGTCACCACCGGTTAGTGCATTTTTTTTAATGTCCCATGTACACTTATAAGTAGCATTTGTATATCTGGGGGTGGATTATATATTTTGACTACATCGCTTTTTGTTGTGAGCTGTATAATTAATTTCTTTATTTTCTTGTGGTTAGGGCCTCTGGGACAAGGTATTGCCAACGCCGTTGGCTTGGCCCTTGCGGAGAAACACTTGGCTGCTCGTTTCAATAAGCCTGACGCTGAGATTGTAGACCACTACACGTGAGTCTTCTCACTCTCTCCTTTTTGTTTCCCTTTAGTGCCATAACAATAGAACGATTTAATGCAACCTGTCTTTTGCTTGACTAATTGCATCGATGATTGGTCATGTCATGCAGATATGTTATTCTCGGTGATGGTTGCCAGATGGAGGGTATTTCACAAGAAGCTTGTTCCCTTGCTGGACACTGGGGACTTGGAAAGCTGATTGCTTTCTATGATGACAACCACATCTCAATTGATGGTGACACAGAAATCGCTTTCACTGAGGATGTTGGTGCCCGTTTTGAGGCTCTTGGGTGGCACGTAATCTGGGTGAAGAACGGTAACACTGGTTATGATGAGATTCGTGCTGCTATTAAGGAAGCAAAAGCTGTCACAGACAAACCCACTATGATCAAGGTACTCTACCTTCTGCCTTTATGTTGGTTACTACGAGGTGATCCTGAAAAGTTGTATATGATTGAATTACTGTATAGACTTTGCTGCATTGGTAATTTTACATTTCATTTTTGAATATCCCATTTCCTATTTTTTTTTCTCAGTCGGGGTGCAGGATTAATTCATTATTGCTAGTGCTGCTAATAGGGTTACTTGATAGATTCATTTCGTAAGTTTATCATTAAGTTTACTGAACTTTCCTCCTTTCAGGTGACTACAACGATTGGTTTTGGCTCGCCCAACAAGGCAAACAGTTACAGTGTACATGGAAGTGCACTTGGAGCTAAGGAAGTAGAGGCCACCAGGAGTAACTTGGGATGGCCTTATGAGCCTTTCCACGTGCCTGAAGATGTCAAGAGGTATTAATCCATTCCCTTTCTCCTCTGATTCATCTGAACATTACTGGTTACTTACAAGCTATTGGTATTCACTTGCTACTTATTGCAGCCATTGGAGTCGTCATGTTCCCGAGGGTGCTGCTCTTGAAGCTGGATGGAATACCAAGTTTGCTGAATATGAGAAGAAGTACCCAGAAGAAGCTGCAGAACTCAAATCCATTATCACTGGTGAACTACCTGCTGGCTGGGAGAAAGCTCTGCCTGTAAGTAGTCATTTTCATCTTTCTCTCGCTTATTTCAAGCTGAGTTCAACTGCTTTTGGTTTGGGCTATCCTTATATTAAGTTCTTAGCTTTGCGGGTGAGGTTTTTGAATTTTTGCCTCGTATAATAGACGAGAGAGTTTGTTTCAATTGTCGTCCTGTACTTTTTATCTTCCCTTATCAGAGGGACCAACATTTTATAAGTCAAATCAACTGTTTTGCATCACAGTTCCTCAGTCTTCCTTTTCCATCTAGTCATTGTTGCTCAAAAATGATCGTCTAGTTTTGAAAAACATGTAAATATTTCCTAATCCAGTTATTTGCTTGTTCTCTCAATCTCAGACCTACACACCTGAAAGTCCAGCGGATGCCACCAGAAACCTGTCCCAACAAAACCTGAATGCTCTTGCCAAGGTTCTCCCTGGTTTCCTTGGTGGTAGTGCTGATCTTGCCTCATCAAATATGACTCTCTTGAAAATGTTTGGTGACTTCCAAAAGAACACCCCAGAGGAGCGTAATCTAAGGTTTGGTGTTCGTGAACATGGTATGGGAGCTATATGTAATGGGATTGCTCTACACAGCCAAGGCTTGATTCCCTACTGTGCTACTTTCTTTGTGTTCACTGACTACATGAGAGGAGCCATGAGAATTTCAGCCTTGTCTGAGGCTGGAGTTATTTATGTTATGACCCACGATTCAATTGGTCTAGGAGAAGATGGGCCTACCCATCAACCCATTGAGCACTTGGCAAGTTTCCGTGCAATGCCCAACATTCTGATGTTCCGTCCAGCAGACGGCAATGAGACAGCAGGAGCTTACAAGGTGGCTGTCCTCAAGAGGAAGACACCATCAATCCTTGCACTCTCTCGACAAAAGTTACCACAACTTGCTGGAAGCTCTATTGAAGGAGCAGCAAAGGGTGGCTACATTTTATCAGACAATTCTTCTGGCAACAAACCTGATGTCATTTTGATTGGTACTGGCTCAGAGTTAGAAATTGCTGTCAAGGCTGCTGATGAACTCAGGAAAGAAGGAAAGGCAGTGAGAGTTGTTTCCTTTGTTTGTTGGGAGCTTTTCGAAGAACAATCAGCCGACTACAAGGAAAGTGTCCTTCCATCATCTGTTACAGCTAGAGTTAGCATTGAAGCTGGATCCACATTTGGGTGGGAGAAATATGTCGGATCAAAGGGGAAGGCCATCGGAATTGACAGATGGGGTGCCAGTGCCCCTGCTGGAAAAATATACCAGGAGTACGGAATTACAGCAGAGGCTGTTGTAGCTGCAGCTAAGCAAGTTTCTTAGGCTTTATTACTTACACTTTTGCTGGTGTCTACCAAATTTGTTTTCAGTTTGAAACTGAGGTTGGAGATAATGGTGGAAACCAATACCAAACGGACTCGGCAGTTCACTGTTGCCTGGTATTTTCAATAAAAACTATTTCTTCATCTGCCCTTTGTTTTCTTCAGTTTTAGTAGCGGAGCGGCCAAAATGAATCCAA